AGACTGCACCTGGTTGCCCTGTGGTCCTTGTGAGCCTTGCCGGCCTGGTTCTCCCCTTGGGCCTTGGGGTCCACTAGTACCTCGTGGGCCTGTGGCTCCTGCTTCACCCTGCACAATGTTTAAAAAGTAAAGTAAAGTAAATTTCATTCCTCATTTTTTTGTACATGCCATAAATCCTTTCTAAATAAAAACTATAATAATGTATCAAAAAGTCTGAAGATGCAAAATTTTGCAGCACATGATTCTTGCAGTAACCAGGATTCAGGCATACCTTCATCCCTGGACCACCATCCTGGGGTTCCAGGAATTCCCATCGGGCCCTGCAAATTATATAAGTGTCAGGTTAGATAACATATCACTCTTTATTAAAAGAACATATTCCACATCTTTGAAGATAATGGCAGATATGCACTACCCTTCAAAGGTTTGGGGTCAGTAAGATTTTTTATTTATTTATTTTTTTTAATTAATACTTTATTCAGCCAGGATGCATCAAATTGATCAAAAGTGTTATTAAAGGCATGTTATGTTTACTTTAAAAAAAATAAACATATCCGGATTTGTAATAGTATTCATTATACATTTAGTAAAGAGGAACAGGTTTTACAATTCAAATCACTGATTAGGGATGTAACAAATACAGGACAACAAAACCTTGAAAGATTATATTACTCACCCCAGGCAGTGAAGTGTCTGCAGGACCGCGCTCACCTGGCATGCCTGGGACACCTGGCTCTCCGTCAAAACCAGGCGGACCTGGGACACCCTTTGCGAAAAATATTGTATGACACGATTTAACAATTTAGCTGTCATTTACTACATTATGACTCTCCAGTCACTCAAAGTAACATTGATGAGCCATAATTTGCAGTTCATTCCATGCATCAAAAAGAAAGAAAGCCACTATTTGTACATAACTTTAAAGGGGTCATATGATGCGATTTCAGTTTTTCCTTTCTCTTTGGAGTGTTACAAGCTCTTGGTGCATAAAGAAGATCTGTAAAGTTGCAAAGACTAAAGTCTCAAATCCAAAGAGATATTCTTTATAAAAGTTAAGAGTCAACCACGCCTACCTAGATGTACAATGCGTGGAAAATAATGTGTTTTTTGAACCTTAAACCTCATAAACACATTTCATTACACCAAATAATGTTCTTTTTAGCAACATCATATGACCCCTTTAATGTGTTTCTGAGATAAAAAGGTCACATAACAGAATATAAATTACTAACGAGGCTATTGGTTTATGGCACATACTCGTCTTCCTTTGCTTCCTGGATATCCAGGTCGGCCATCTGCTCCTGGGGGACCCTGTTTGATGTGACACACAAGATAATGGACTTCAATTTGATTGACAGTTCAAAGAATGGGGATTCTGGGAAAAAAATAAAAGATTAGAGGTATATGTGTGTGTGTGCGTGCATTATTTTTTCACCATTGGTCCTGGGCATCCAGGTATTCCCACAATCTAAAAAAAAGGAATAGGCCTATAATATAATTAAAAGTTTAAACAAATAGTATGCATTTGTATATAACATGATTAACACTAATGACATATGTCATGTATGGCACAATATATTGCAAATACGATGGACAGAAGCATAATAAGGAATGCCACTCACATAAGGAATGTCACCAGGTTCACCTTTTTGGCCCTGAAAAAAAAACATGCAGGATTAATCAACTTCACTCATATTAATTTGTGGGGTGAAAATCATGTATTACAAAAAAAAAAATGTTAATCTGTATGCCTAATTTTTAAAAGCATTCACGTACCTTAAATGCAATTGTTTCTGAAAAAGAAACACAAAATAGAATTTAAATGGATTCAGGCTAAATTATTATAAATGTGTAAAATAATAAATAAGCTATGACTTATACTCATCTAAATTAATTGCCTTTCTGAATATTACATTCACATTTATAACATTAAAAAAATTTGAAAAATAAAGACAAAAACAGTTTTTGTGTGTGTGTGAGGTAACTCAGGTTAGACTGGTTTGTCAGATATATTTTTATAAGATAATTACAGTGGAAACAGAAAATCACTGTCTGTACAAATGTAATCCACCATCAGAGGTCAGTCTAGCATCATTAATTATTTGTTCCAAAAGCAAAGGAGCTAGTGAAGATGTTTATATTTTCATTCTAAAATGCCACTCTGATCTTCATACTTTCTGCCAAGATAATGCTTCATATCTTAATGTGTGCTTAAGTGTAACAGTACTCACAAAAACTTACCAAGCTAACCATTATTCCCACCAACATACTACAGTTGCTACAGATATTGTTTTTACAACTAACTGTCACAACGTGGTACCATACACTATTAACTGTATTTTAATTTAGCCAAATTCTCAATAAAACGGTTTTCATTTATATAATTTACTGTTTCTGTTGTCAGTCAATGGGATAAGTATGAAATAGTGACTGAAATGTGGCCCTTTAAGACTACAACCAGCTCTCCCTTCCAAGATGTTAATCTGCACAAAAATCCTGATTTATAATCGAGCCGTCGTCTGATGAAATCAAATACACATAACATAAGTAAAGACAAAGACAATCCGTGTGCCGTGTTTTCGGCTATATTTGCATGTAAAATTAGAGAAGCAACATCATATCTATTTTAACTGAAAGTGCTGCTCCTCTCTGGTCATGAGGTCATGAAGGTCATGATCATAGAACAATAGTGTAACTGTAAAATAAAATGATACACTAACATTCAAGAGTTTGTAGTCAGAAATATTTGGCTTTTTTAAAGAATTTAATACTTATATTCAGCAAAGATGCATTTAATTGATCAAAATAAAGACATTTATAATGTTACAAAAGATTTGTTTCAAATAAATGCTTTTTATTTATTCATAGAATTCAAAGGAAGATTTAAGGAATCCTGACAAATTTTAAGCATCACAGCTGTTTTCAGCATTTATAACACAAATAAATGTTTCTTGAGCTCCAAATCAGTAAATTAGAATGATTTCTGAAGGACCATGTGATACTGACTGAAGACTAGAATAATGACTGCCTAAAATTCAGCTTTGCCTGACTAAAATGCATTTTAAAAAGAATTAAAATAGAAAAACTTATTTTCAATTGTAATAATATTTCACTGTTTTGACTGCATTTTTTATCAAACAAATGCTGACAAATATTTTGTGTTCCAAAGAAGAAAGAAAGTCCTACAGATTTGGAAGCAAAGCTGAATTTCAGGCAGTCATTATTCTAGTCTTCAGTCAGTATCACATGGTCCTTCAGAAATCATTCTAATTTACTGATTTGGAGCTCAAGAAACATTTATTTGTGTTATAAATGCTGAAAACAGCTGTGATGCTTAAAATTTGTCAGGATTCCTTAAATCTTCCTTTGAATTCTATGAATAAATAAAAAGCATTTATTTGAAACAAATCTTTTGTAACATTATAAATGTCTTTATTTTGATCAATTAAATGCATCTTTGCTGAATATAAGTATTAAATTCTTTAAAAAAGCCAAATATTTCTGACTACAAACTCTTGAATGTTAGTGTATCATTTTAAAATTTGCAAGGATGTTCTTGGCTGCCATCACAATGTATTACTGTACAGACCGTGTTCTAGAAATTATAAACAACTCTTTACAAAAGCTCTTTTTCTCCATTAATGTTTTACCAGTGTGCCCTCAGCAGTAACGGACCTCAGTTCTCTCCACCCATCAGTGGACATAAAGAGGAGCCACATGAGGTCACGAATGAGTTGTTCCGTAAATACATTTTATTTTTTTTTAAAAACCTTATACGCTGCAGAATAAACTATTCTAACAAATTGCTTTATGCAGACTCACAGGTTCACTTCCACAGTAGAAAGTATCAACATGCTTCGTTAGTGTAGGCAAAGCGATCCTGGTTCACTTATAAGGTGAGAAACATCTTTTAACCACAGTTTATTTCACAATTTATGTGAATCACTGCAACATCAGACCTTAACTTCACACAATCTTCACAGATTGTAGATTTGCCGGTCCATCTTAAATATAGCATGCCACAAAATAGTTTAAACTCAAAGCAGAAGTTGTTATTCTTCAGATGCTATTCTGGTAAAACATGACATATGAATTATCTTTTATAAATGTTGTTTCTTTTCTACTTAAATATGTTTATTATTTCTCTGGCTGAAGTTGACCTGGTCAGTATGTAACAAGAAATACCTGAAAACTAAAACAAAATAAAGCAAAGCAAAACTAAACTAAACTAAACAACTAAAAAATTAAATAGTAACACTCTATAAAAAAGTGCATTAATGCATTAAGGTATTTATCCATCTTTGTTAACATTTGTTAATAAAAATACAATTGTTCTTTGTAAGTTCATGTTAACTCATGCCCATTAAATAATGTTTTGATTTTTAGTACATATTTAAAAAACAACTATTTTTAGTTCGTATTGTTAGTTCATATTAACTATAATGCAGTTAACAAATGGAATCTTATTGCAACGTGTTACCAATAAAATAAAATGTCCATCATACAATTAACCACAAATATTATTAATGTAAACTAGCTTGATCTAATGATCTTATTATGCTATACAAAAAAGGTAATCAGATCTGCAGCGCTGTATGCATTAAAAACCTCATGTAAACTAGGTAATTACAGAACAATCAAGCTAATTACATTATATTTACAAACTAAAATGAAACAATACTGAACAAGCATTAACGGTAATTATGCTCACTATAAACTCAAATATGTTGAAGTGAGTTACTTATAACAAATGTGATGGTGTCTGGCCTATTTATTTGAACCCGATAAGACACTACACATATGGCAGAGAACACCCTGATCAACTTACAGCCACTTTATTATTGATGATCTGGTTAGACAAACCCAAGCAGCACCTCCCATTCTAATTTAGACAGTAATTTAGGCAGCGATGTCGCCACAGTCAGTACCAACTCAAATTCAAACTACTCTGAATGAACATAGACAGTAACAATACGCTCAGGCTTCAGTGAACTACAGTAATGTTTGCAGCAGCAACTAAGAATTTTGTGAAGCAGGTAGGGGACACTGGACGCCTCATCCCTGTGCCCAGTCTAAGTGAGGCGGACCGATATCAACCACTCAGCCTGGTGACGAGGAAGAGGAGACGACATTTCTGGAAGAAGACCAAATATGCCACAACCCCCTTATCACTGAAAGACATACTCGTCGGAGAGAAAGAGATCACAGCAGGTGAGTTAGAAATATTTAATCATTTGAAATAAAAGATAAGTATAGATGAACAAACACTTGGTTCTCATGTCTTCAATCAAACATCCTTGTAGAATTGTACGTGCATGTTCAATTTTTACTTAAAAATGCATGAAAACAGCTATATACACTGATTTTTTTATATTTTATGCAAACAGTAGTCTGTTTTTATTATGAATGAAGTACATACAGGTGCATCTCAATAAATTAGAATGTCATGGAAAAGTTTGGTATCAGCGGAGTGTGTCTGTATTTTCCTCTGGTTGACAGGGGTCTCTTCATATCAGCTGCTAAACTATGAAGACAAGTCCGATGTTGCCCTAAATGGGCGTTTGGGCAACCATCTGATCCACGAGGTGGGAGTAAACGTGAGTGGTTCAGACTCTGTGGCGGTAAAGGCCTCATTTGGAATTGTGACCAAGCATGAGGTGGAGGTTCCTACACTACTGAGGGAACTCAATGCAAGGTAAAGAACACTGCGTACACATTTTTATATAACAGTTAGTTTCAGTCCTCAAAATTGGCTGAGAGCTGGAATTTTGTCCAGCAGCACTTGGACTTTTCACTGTTTGTTTCACTCTACTTTTTGCATGTTACAGACAGGTTGCATTGTTAGACCAGTAGGTGGCAACAATTGACTGTATTTTAGAGATCGCTAGACTCATTCACTCAACCAATTTGGTCAAGAAAAAATACATTTGTTTGCAAAACATTTACATTGCTTCAAGAAATTTTGCATACATTCACAAAACTTGTGCATTCTGTCACAAAATGTTTGTGCTCCACCAAGAAACTGCATTTACTCAACAACTTTGGGGTTGCTTTGCTAAACTTTTTGCATTCCTTTGACTCCCAAGAAATTTAGCATTCACTCACAAAAATTTGGGGTTCAATGCAAAACTTTCATGTTACCTCGATTCCTAAGAATTTTACAAAACCATTGCATTCCCCCCAAAAACTTGCAAAAGCATTCAAATATAATTTTTTCTTCCATATTTTTTCCATTTAAGTTACTGATAACTCCAGCTTTGTATAATGGTTATGGTTATGATGATGCAAGTATTCAGAACAGCAGCACTCTTGCTTGTGTACTTGATGAAATGAATCACTGAATTGAATTCTCTCATTCTTTTTCTCACAAATCTTTCCGTCTATTCTCCTCTCACTTCTTTTTCTATCAGGAAAGTTGACCTGGATCACTGTTTGATCCGTCAGTCCAAAGAGAGCGGGCGGACTGTCCTGTGTGTTGTCATGGAGAGCATCCGCACCACACGACAGTGTTCCCTCACCGTCCACGCTGGAGTGCGAGGAACTACCATGAGGGTAAACAAATGCAAGTGTGTATATACTGTATATATATATATATATATAAAATTGTATATTTGGCTGTGAAATTTGCTGTTCTCTGATACTCTCTATCATCAGTTCCAGATAGATGATGGTCGAAACCCTAAAGGTCGAGATAAAGCCATTGTAATTCCAGCTCACACGACCATAGCATTCAGTGTGCTAGAGCTTTATGTGCGTTTTGATGGACGTCTGGGTAAGCCTCCAATAATACAGCAGTATTCTGTCTTGGGCTCAGTAAGATATATATTTAAATAAATTACAAGGATGCAATAAATTGATCAAAAGTGACAGTAAAGACCTTTATAATGTTACAAAAAAGTACTATTTCAAAAATAAATGCTGTTCTTTTGAACTTTCCATTCATCGAAGAATACTAAAAAATGCGTATCACCGTTTCAACAAACATATTAAGGGTTTTTAGCATTGATAATGTTTCTTGAGCTCCAAATCAACATATTTAAGTGATTTCTGAAGGATCATGTGACACTGAAGACAGGAGTAATGGCTGCTGAAAATTATGAATAATAATAATCATATTAATAATTTCACATTACTTTTTTTATCAAATAAATGCAGCCTAGGAGAGCATAAGAGCCTTTTTTAAAACATAAAAAAATTATTAACTCCACACTTCGAACAGTAGTAGCCTATATATCTATATCTTTGGTGTTATATATGAAGCCTATCCATATTTACATTTAGATATTTAGCAGATGATTTTATCCAAGGCGACTTACAAATGAGGGCAATGGAAGCAATCAAAATCAACAAAAGAGCATTGATATGCAAGTGCTAGTGTCTCAGTTAGCTTAATGCAGTACACGATCCATATATATATATTTTTTTTTTTTTAAATGTTTATTGCTTTATCTAATGACCTTTGGTTGAACTTTGGTCAGACATATGTGTGGCACCAGAGTCAGTAGGAGGGTTTGAGAGGGAACAGATCCGTGAGCAGCTTGGGGGATTCATTGGACGCTTTTCCTTTGGAAGACTCAGGAGATTCCTGTCGGGAATCATCTATGGAAATCCTTTCAGAGCAGGTGATTTAAATTCTGTTGTCATCGCTGTATCTGCAATATTTAAAATGATCTTGAAGAAATATTCCAAATGTCACTCTTGCTGTAGATGACAGGACGTTTGAAGAGCTCCCTCACTCTGATATGTACATGGACGATGTTGTGACGGACTACTATGAGAAGGCTGCCAGCATGACTGACCTGTCCACGGCCTACCTGCGGGATGAAAAGCACACACGTGTAAATCTGCTCAACCATAACATACCGAAAGGACCGTGTGCCTTGTGTGGCATGGGCCACCAGAGGCGTGAGACTGTCTACGGCTGCCTGGAATGCTCTTCGGGGGAAAACAAATATGTCCGTCTCCACGCTGTTCCATGTTTTGACCTCTGGCATAAAACTATGAGGTGAGGAATGGCCTGGAGGAACTCTCAGGGTGATTTTCGTGCAAATGTTGTGCAATATGACCACAAGATTTAAAACCCTCCCCTTTAATTTTGGCAAAAACACATTTTATGAAAGCAAGAATCTTCTCTGTTCATTGTGAGTGTTACTGACATCGTAAAACCGATGATTTCAACAAATTCTAAAACATTGGACCTCAGTCTGATTATTTGTGACCCCGGACCACAAAACCAGTCTTAAGTGCACATGAGCAACATGATCTTTACGTAATATCCTAATGATTTTTGGCATTAAAGAAAAATCTATAATTTTTACCCATACAATGTATTTTTGGCATTTTTGCTACAAATATACCCCAGCAACTTAAGACTGGTTTTGTGGTCTAGGGTCACATTTATTAATTCGTTTAATGATTGATATATTTCTTCCTTGTTTTATTGCACTAAAACTATGTTTGCTTGAGAGTATATTATTATACTCCTATCTTAGTTGTCAAATAACAATTATTATCTATTATCTACACTGCTGCCCAAAAGTTTGGAATAATTACGATTTTTTAAAAAGTCTCTTCTGCTCACCAAGGCTGCATTTATTTGATCAAAAATACAGTAAAAACAAAAAAGTAATATTGTGAAATTTTATTAATGTACAATTTAAAATAACTGTTTTCTATTTTAATGTATCTAAAAGGGCATTTAGAATGAATTCTGAAGGACCATGTGACACTGAAGACTGGGGTAATGGAAAATTGTTCATTTAAATAGTAATAATATTTTTATAGTATTATTGTTTTATTGTACTTTTGACAAAATAAATGCAGCCTTGGTGAGCAGAAGAGACTTCATTCAAAAACATAAAAAAAATTATTCCCAACTTTTATCTGGTATACACATTGAGACTCATAATTGGAAAACAGTAAAATACACGTAATACAGTATAATAATAAAAATAATAAATACTTAAAAGACTGATCTCAGACACAATACTTGGTGCTAATTGTGTATTGCATTGTTTACATAGTTGTCCATAACATTCATTTATATCAGTTTTAAGATGGTGTTTCTTACCCATCCAGATACAAATGGACAAAATAACAGATACATTAGGGCAAAAAGCTAGGGCAGATATTTATTTCATCATGTGAAGACCAGCTGATATGTTTTCGAACACACTGTGCTGTCTGAATAATTCAGGCCTATCAATAAATTAGCCTGTAGATCACATGATGGCAGAGCAGGAAGTGCTTTGCTGACAGATGTCTCCTGTGAACAGTACACCATGGAAATGTTTCCAGAGAATGTGTGAACCGAAGGCCAGGACAGTGCAAGGTTACATTTGTGTGCTTATTTGACACCTGTTGGCCCCAGTGTGTTCAGAATAGTGTAATGAATGGAAAAATGTATCTTAAACTGTTGATTGTGTAGCATGGAATGTCAAGAACAACAATTAAAAGATTTGCCTCCACAAATTCATGTACTGACTTAAATATTTTCCATGTTTGTTATCCAGATTTATAAATTAAAAATAATTGTAAAGTTTTGAATATTACAGTAAGTATTAAAAATTTGGGGCCAGTATGATTTTTTTAAAATGTTTTTGTCACTTATGCTTATCTGTATTTATTTGATCAGTAAAAACAGTAATATTGTGAAATTTTATATATATAACCAAATTGTCCATTTATAATTTATTTATTTGCTGCATATGATTTCACAACTTCTTGTCACAAGAATTTGATCTTAGTTACTGTGTTAGTGGGTGACTGACTTTCTCACTGGAAGACAGAAGACATGTTTCTTATTCACATCTTTATTACTTATAAAAAATAATGACCAACATTCTGCATTAATGACAAAAACAGCTCATATGCAGTGGGCCTTTTCATTTTCTGTATTAAAGCTTGCATCAGAACTCACCCACTGTCAATCCAAACACACTCCATTCTCACAAAAATACCACTCCAGGATATGCACTCAAGCTCAAACTCAATCAGAAGAGCCACGTAGGAACAAATAAATATAGACCTTTTTTCTTCAAGTCAGAATTAAAGCACTTTTTGATCCTGCATTTCTGGATGAGAGAGGAATATTGCCGAAATTAGCCACTGAAAAGTCAGTTTGGCACAACTTCACTGTTCCACATTTCCAGTTCAGTATGAATGTCTAATACAGCCATTGAGATTATGAATATAGCATTTAGAACCTAAAAAAACAAGACCAATGCATTCCCCTCCCCGTCACACAACTCTGGTTTTACTTTAAGCTCTTTTGCTTTCCTACACACAGACAACTATAAAACAAGCATGTCAGATGCTCCAGAAACAGGTGTGAAGCCGTAATATTCAACATATTTTAATGGCTTTAAAATATGAGATGCTCTCGGAACAAGGCACTTGGAGGCCAGGACTGTTTAGAGACACCGAAGAAACGAGATCCACTGAATACTGTTGATTTCAGTGCAAGTACCATCATTGCCATGCACATCAAACCTCGCTATTGATGCTCTGAGACTAATGGGTAACATTGTAGGTTTTAAAACACACAAGCCGACTGCATCACTGCATCTCATTCAAACTAAATAAATATATGTTTATTACTCATTAATGCAAATATGATGTAAAAAGAGATACGTAACTGCTAAAACATACCCACTCTTACTGAAAATAAGGTCCATCTTGTAACTTTAGTCCCCCATAGTAACTAAACATGGGAACATCAACTGCTACTTCTGTGAGTTGGGAAAGGCTCACATTATAACCAGTAGGGGGCAATAAGACTACATTCTTGGAATGAGAACGATTCCAGCCTCACAACAAATGTTAATGAGGCTTCCACCTGCTCAAATCTATTCACACCCCAGTCCAGTGTTCTGCTCATATTTGAGCTTTTAGTGTTTGGGATTGGTTATTTGTGCAAACAAACCCAGCCTGGAACCAGCAATCCACTGTCTGTTAGACAAATTGGGTGGAATTTCGCAACAGGCCAATATAAAGCCAAATGTCTCTAGAAAAATGTCATACAGGAAGAGGTCTACAGCCTTAGTCCACCGCCGTACTGCAGCATGTCCACCGATATGCAACTTGGGAAAAAGGAAGGTACTGAAACAGTAGACCTTCCTGTCCCCTACTTCCTGCTCACTGCGGGACATCACTAGATTCATGTAGAGGTTGATCACCTAAAAGCGACGGTTACATAATCAAAGGCAATGCGAATACTCGTGCATATTTTTTGTCTGAAAGAACAAAAAAAATGGAGGAAAATGCTAATTATTGGATTAGAGAAGTCACACCTGACATGACATCTGATTTAAGACTTTGAAAGACAAAAAGAAAGGAAACAACAATAATTCTATGTTATAGCCAATAACTGATAAATAGTTGATTAAAAATCTTACTTTTTTTGCCTAAATAAATAAAAAATAATGTCTCTTGTCGTCTCTGAGAGGATATGCGCCATTAATGCAGCGTGTTCAGCAGAGGTTGAAAGCGCCGTCAGTTTGCACTTTTTTTACTTTCACTGTGTATAATTGGCTAAGGTTAAAACATTCACCAGCATAACTCTTGCACAAAGTTTGCATGTTGCTTAATATCAGCCTTCATGGTTTAAAACAGAAATATTTCCAATATTAAATTAAATTAAAATTGGTCACACCTGCAGGAAAAATGGTTGCAAAATGCGACTATTTGGCCGCAGTCTGAAGCCCTGACTATAAAATAATAATATATACGTTGAAATTCGCTAAAATCACATTTACCATAGATATAATCAAATTATTACTTTAAGTGAGCATTAGATGGCAAAAGTATTGTAAAAAAATTAAAAAATAAAAAAAGTAGAAAAGTGATTATACAACTAAATACCCAATATCAGCCAATACCGAGGAGAAAAAAAAATAACAAGTTATCCAATATGGTACCAATATATTGCGCATTCTTAGCCTTTTAAAATGATGCTACCTCATCGTTGAGCCAGCTGCCCTCTTGCAGGGTTGCCAGATCCCTCTGTGTGATACGCAGTTTGAAAGCACTGCACAGAACCAGGTTTGGATCAGTTTGAGCAAGAGCAGCACTCACTTCCTGCTGCATCTCCTGTTACATGATACAAAGACAACACTGTTACTCAAACCACAAGGAAAGGAACCAATGTGACAGTGAACTGTAAGTGGAAATAAATAGGCAGGTTTACATACACATCATTGATCATACTCTGATCAAGACTTTATTCCAAAAAAGAGGTTTACACACTCCACAGATATTGGAATATCCCCGTTTACATGGTATTCACTAATATCCAAGCAAACAAGACATGTATTTCCTCCCCACCTTCTCTCATTGGAGATGTTCAATTTAGGAAATAGAATTTGTTGCAATGAGGTTAACGTGTTTGTGACATTTATAATCAGAATATTCCAAATTAATACAGAAATATTCCTGTGCATGTAACAACCAGACAGAGTGTGGTATAATAACAATTAAGATTTGAAATTTTTTTTTTGAGACACTGACCTTGGTCAGTCTGGGAAACTCTTCCTCACTGCACCTCACTGTATCTGTAATCAGTTCAGATCTGGATGGTAGCGAGGATCCTGCAGCTGTGTCTTTCTCCTTAAGATTCAACCTTGCTTCAACCTCAGCTGACAGATCCACATCTAAAGGCTGGACAGAGTGTGAGGAAGAAAAGAGAACAGAACTTACAAAACATAATAATTAAAAAAATTAATTACATTAAGCATGTTTTTTTTTTTTTTTAACATTTCAATCTTGAATTTTAAAAAAACTAAACTTAATAAATATCCAGATTAAAGGAATAGTTCAACCAAAAATTAAAATGACCCCATAATTTACTCAGTAATTTTACTGGAGTAATTTTCATTTTTGGGCGAACTATCCCTTTAATATTTTAATACTCTTTCATCTGTAGACATCAACACTTGCATGACATGAAAAAGACAATAAGCACTTACGATTTTTCTTACAGTTTGATTATCCAAGGCTCCTTCCTTGACATAACTTGCTAGTGTGCTTCGATTAACATCTATAGTTCTATAGCAGATTTTAAAATTAATAAATATATTAAATAATAATAATAATAAATGCAGATAATTATTTATTAATAAGCAATGCTTATGAATCATGCTGAAGTGTACCTGTCTTTAGTCTGCATCAGTGGATCCCGCCACACAGACATACTGGCTAGAGGCAAAAACAGAACATTTGATTTGAATGTTAAAAGGTATCACGGAAGCCATTCATCAAAAGTTTAAAATAATTTCAGATAGTTAAAGGAAAACAAAAGCAGTGGGTGCAGCTGGATGTAATTAAGCTCACCTCTGACTGGAGCAGGTCTGCTTATGTCAGTAGTGCGACTGATGGAGGCGTGCCCATTTGCCTTGTGTCCATCCAGCAAGAAAGTTGTGCTAAAAAATTAATAAACACAGCATTAACTTCCTCCAGCCATGCTACACTGATTTCAAAAGTGTTCTAAGGACTCATGCACTTACATTGGAGGCTTCATCCGTCCAAACGGCAATGGTTTGCTCTTTGAGTATTTCTCTGATGCCATCTCTACTAGCTTCCTGTAATGCTCTCGATCGCTCTCTCTCAGTGCCTAGTCAAAAGAGAGATGGTCAGGAAATCACAGACATAAAGGTATCAAGTTTCCAGTACGTTAAAATTCAGTTTTCCTACCTCCTCTACGGTCAGGCAAGGTTTGTGTGTGCGGATTGGATGCTCCATCTCAGCTGGTCTTGCACTTAGCCCGTGGGTGGTGCAAGACGGCACTAGCTTCAGTGATCTGCGCATCTCCCTGCCCTTGTCCTGGCTTCCCTTGTACAGCATTGCACCACTGCTCAAGGAGATAAATACACAGACTGTTATACAATGTCTAAAGAACAAATCATTTTATTATCAGCAACCACTCAGAACATGGTTTACAGTTACAAAACAGAAGTACATATCTCTGGTTCTGGTATCAAAGTAAGACTTGAGCTACTGTACAGTATATTCTGTTTGATACTTCATTTAATAGGTAAGTTTCATTTGCCTATTAATGTCAGAAATAAATGTTTCTAGATTATTTATTTGTAAAGATGCATTTATAAAATGAATTTCAGTTATCATTAAAAACAAAATAAGATTTAGAGGCAGTTCAATTTTTGCTCATTGGCACCAATGCACAGAATAGTAAATAAGTAAACAAAGAAAGATGCTGCTGTTAGTAATTTGTGACCAGTTTGTTTCCTTCAACAAACTGATAAGAGAAAAAAATGGGGAAGAAAAACATCACCTTGTTTTACACTAAATGTTGTGAAGGTTTCATGAACACTTCTTATTGTTAGCATAAAGCATGATTATTCATAATTGCTGAGTGTTTCTTGCTTGGCTGAAGTTATGTCCATATTCTGTGCATCATGGGATGTGGGAATTTTGAGGATCATGTGTTGCTCTTTTTAAAAGAACAGAAATTTACAATCTCTCCTTTAATCACATAAAAATTTAAAGTCATTTCAACTTTATAATCATTCCATCAGAGAATGTAACCATTAAAAATATAACAAATGACAAAAGCCTTGAGAAGAGAAAATTTGAGAAAACTAAAAAAACAGCTCAAAACAGTGAAAAATGTCTAAATGATACTTACTCTGATTTCCATAAAGCCTGGGGGTTGTGGTGGACATTGGCTGCTGTTCTTTCTTTATTTTTAACTCCCAGTTCAATCTGTTTATCTGAAGAGAGATAATTGTAAACCATTACTAAACTGACAGGCTGTAGATAGGTATAAAATAAGCTTTACGTACAGTGCACTACCATTCAAAAGTTTAGGGCTGGTACATTTTTTAAAATGTTTTTAAAATTCTCTTATGCTCACCTAGGCTGTATTTATTTGATCAAAAATACAATAAAAATAGTAATATTGTGAATTATTATTATTATAATTTAAAATAAATGTTTTTGATTTTAATGCATTTCAAAATGTAATTTAATCTTTTGATGGCAATCTGTATTTTTAGCAGCCTTTACTCCAGAATCACATGATCTTTTGGAAATCATAGTAATATGCTGATTTGGTGCTTGAGAAACATTTCTAATTATTACAAATGTTGAAAACAGATGCTTAATATTTTTATGGAAACTGAGATTAGGCCTGGGCGATAAAACGGTATCAATATTTATCGACGGTACACCTTTTTCGATATCGATAGAAAAAAAATGTTCGATATAGTGCACGATATAGGCACGTGCTATGAGTGACGCAGACAGCACACACAAACATGAACACATGCTGAAATGAGTGCTGTGCCTGCCTGTGATGAGGAGATTGTGAATAAATAATGAATATTAGTCAAATTTAAAATAAACATTTGCATTTGAATGTTAGGTGTGCGTCAGGGAGCGTCATCAGTGGCGCGTGAGATGCGGGGATGTAAGTGACGTTATTGCATTTTAATGTTTTGTTAGTCTAGCCCACGAGATGCGCCGCTGCTGTGTTATGCATTCAAAATATTAGAGAAATATAGAAGCTCAATGAGGAGATGATCTTGAATGGGTTAAAACCGAAACCAAGCCATTCATACAGAATGCATATTCAGCGCATTTTTAGATGGACAAATATGACTGCTGCACTCGTGTCTCACAGAAGAGATGTATAGAAAGCCATGCAAAGTTAAAACAGTTTAAACATTTAGAAAACACGTCACGAATTTGTGGAGGTTTATTCCTTTTCACAGCATCTTATATGTTTTAAATGCAGTCTGTGTGAATGGCGCTTCGACTCTTTGGATTAAACAATGCATAAATACATGATGCTGTTTTGTTCCTAATTGTTTTTGCAATTTATGTTAATTTAGACGTAATGCACATTTTTATAGAGTTACTTGCTAAACACGCTGCATTATTTTGCTCATTGCACCCTCATGTGGCCTCGGGAGACAATTAGACCTATACAATAAAGACATATTTAATCTGCATATAAAACATTAGAAATTAGATATGTTTATTTTTTATTGTGTTTGATTGTTAAAACAAAAAATATTTGTTGTTTGTCTCAATAAATTGTGTTAATTATAAATACAGTGGTTAAATAAAAAATAAAAAATAAACAATTCTATTGCTTTTTGTTTTAAAAAAGGTTATAAAAATGTTGATAATTATAGATACCGAACGATATGAAACATTATATCGTTGATAATTTTTTTTTGCTATATCGCCTAGCCCTAACTGAGATATAGTTTTTGTTCAGGATCCTTCGATGAATATAAAGTTCCAAAGAACAAAAAAATTTGTACTGACCCCAAAGTTTTGAGCGGTAACGCATGTCTGTCAAATTTTTTGCCAGATCACAGAGACACGTGGGGACAGTTAAATAACACTCACCCATTCCGTCACTCTCAATCCATGAACTCAGGCTGTTGCTGTGTATGTCATCAATACCCATAAAAGCAACCCTGCCAACCTGAGCCACCAGTGTGCAAAACAAGAAACAAGACAATGTACACAATGCATGAAACCAAGGCTGCACAAGCAATGCATGTATTTGCAATCACTTAGTGGTGATTATATGAACATACCTCCGAAAAGGCTTTCTGCTTTTCATGTTCTGCCTTTCTGTGGTATCTTGATCGGAACAGCCCTGCAATCCCTGCAAAAGTCTTCTTGACAACCCTAATGATCACATCTGTAGAAAGATGACAGATATATGAATAAAAGCCTTGATGGTAGGTGACTGAGAATGTCAACACGGCACTGTTGTTTACGTGGAAGAGCTCATCTAAATATTTACCATGTCTTGCTCTTTTGACCTCTGGATATTCTGTCACACAATCAGCGGAGTACACACTGCAACCCAAGAGAAAATGAAACGCTTCAGGTCAGTGCAACAGATGCATCAAAGGACTAGTTCACTCAAAAATGAAGAACATTTTCTTACTCACCCTCAGGCCATCCAAGATGTAGTTTGTTCATCTAAACAAATTTGGAGAAATTTAGCATTACATCACTTGCTCACCAATGGATCCTTTGCAGTGAATGGGTGCCGTCAGAATGAGAGTCAAAACAGTTCATAAAAATATCACAATAATCCACAAGTAATCCACACCACTCCAGTCCATCAATTAATTTCTTGTTAAGTGAAAAGCTGCGTGTTCGTAAGAAACAAATGCATCAAAACACAACTTCAAACTATTGCTTCAACACAAGCCCTCTATCCATAATACTGCTTTCTCCAGTGAAAACGTCATCTTGCCTGAATCAGGAGAGAAATATGCACAGATCAAGCATGTCAGTGAGAGGACAACAGGGGATGGATTTTTTTTCCACTGGAGGAAGCATTATTATTAGGGATGTAACGATTAACCGCGAGCCGGTTGAAAATCGATTCAAATCGGTTGAGATGCTAAACAAATCGCGATTCATTTAGGGGCAGGAGTTTATATGAATGTATGTCTGAGGGGACCTTTACTGTCTTTAGAAAAGTTTAGATAGTATTTTTTCTTTTCATCTTGTCTCTGTATAACGCATATTAAAGTTCATAAGTGCAGCGCCACTTTAAGCGCCACCTGCTGGCAGAGAGTGAATCTGCGTCTCATTCAGCTCCGCTGTTTTACGCAGATATTTTTATATACAGTTTCATAAAACTAAAGTCAAACCATTCTGTTTTTGCTTCAAATTTCAAAATTATACAGTCTAATTTAGGTGCTAATTTGGTCCATTTTTTGATCTACACACCTATCACTTTTTAAGACTAAAACAAAAAAGATGGATTCATTGTTATCCTTAATTAAAAAGCATAACAATAAATCAGTAAGATACAATGACAAACTAGCTTATAAAAGGTGTATTAACAAAAACGAATAATACGAGACATGGCATACACCACATGCTGTATTATATACCGACTAATGAATTACAGAACGTTTAGCAAACACTGAGGAATCAAATAAATCAATAAAAGAGAGCCTCCATAGCATAACGTGAGGTAAACAGCAAAGATAACAAGCTTTTCAAAATGAAAACAAAAAGAAAAGTAAAACTAAACTTGCTGTCGGTGACAGTGCTTGCATGTTTTTGTCCCACAAGAATACCAACACGTTCACCTTTGGTTTAAGAAGCGGTCTTTTACTTTACTTTAGCATGAAACCCATCCATCGTTTCCTCAATATTCGTGTCTTCGCGCTCCTGACGCGGCGAGTATAAACCAGGCTCTACACTCGAAGAGCTGCACCGCTCAAACGAGTAGCGCGGTTTCGTTATGCTTTTAGTTTCGTTTGCCATTTCTCACATGCAACAGAAATGCAGCGCTTATGAGTTAAACAATGCGGTGTTCGCGCCAGAGCGACCGCACACAAAATTTAGTCGCACCCGCAGAAATTTTTTCCGGAAAATGCGCCCATTTGGTCACACACTGGAGCCATGCGCAGTACAGTATTTATTTATCCTCAGTTGTTCAAATCGCGGTAATCGAATACGGTTATAGTGATAATTAAAATATGAAACGGTAATACTAACCGTGGGGTATTTTATCACGATTTATCGTCAAACGGGTAATCGTTACATTCCTAGTATATTATTATAGTGTTATATTTCAATTTCACAAAGAAATGTGCAGCATTTTGTCCAAACAATAATAAAAGGACACATTTAATTTATAATTTGTCTTAAATCTCATTTAGTAAAAAAATTAAATAAAATAAAAAAGTCGCGAATCGAATCATGAATCGAATCGAATCGTGAGTTGAGTGAATCGTTACATCCCTAATTATTATCGACTCATTTTCCGGCCAGAAGCAACAGTTTAAAGTGAAAACGTCTTAATGAAGAATTTGTTTCTTACAAACACAGCTTTTCACTTCACAAGACATTAAGATGAACACAAGATGAACAAGTGATGTAACCCTAAATTTCTTCCAATGAAGAAACAAACTCATCTACATATTGGATGGTCTGAAGGGGAGTACATTTTCAGCCATTTTTTTTTTATTTTTAACTAAACTATACCTTTAATACAAAAAAATAAATCTTTCAAATAAAAAGCAATAAAATGAAAATCACTAAACCAGTAGACTCTGAGGCAAACAGAAAACACCACGTCTTTCTTAAAGAACATTCATATTTATACAGCTTTGCAATATTGTGCAGGCACTAACAGAAAAGGACGTTCTCTATACTCTCCATGTAACGACATCAGATCTGTAATAATTCTAAATCACAACAAACATTTCATAAATTAATTTTATGTTCGACAGTATCCTATTAATTTAATGACAAAGACGGTGACTGAATGCTGGACGAATTGTTTACATTGGACTGATTCCTGCCCCTGAAGACAAATGTAATGTACTACTGCCTATTGTTTATGTAAATGAACAAGAAACAAACTGACACCAGACAAAACAAGGCACTGTGTGTCAATTAAAACAGAAACCAATAGTAACTAGGTTTATTCAGAACCGAGGAATACAGAGTAATACCACACCTTTGATAGTTGCGTTTGGCGGGCCTGCTGTTCTCCAGCCGCTGCGTGTCTGTGCCCGCGGCTCGAGCTACACCGTTACAGTGCTCACTAGGCCAGGCTGCGGATTTCTCACCAGAAAAAGGCACGAAGAGCGACGATAATCCGTCAACTATCCATTCATACATCACAAACCACCACGATGAATAAGACTCCGCTTGGTTTGTTAGTGCCAGGTCTATATCGCAGGTTTTGAAACCGAAAATGTGACCCACTAGTGTTTCAAAAGCCTTCCGTGGCCGTACGTTTCACTGATTTGTCAACTGCGACACCGCACCACTGCTCGTCGGTTAGGCCCTCCCACTCTCCGCTGCTGCCCAATTACCCAAGAGTGTCTGTCTGAGATTGACGTTCCTTCACACCGCCAGTTAAGGCGCTGCAGTGCAGAGCAGCAAACAGAAAGTACTTGGTAATGTTCTGGGTTCAGTGAAAGAAACAGTTTATAAAATGGAACAGACGAAATAATGTTTTATTACAAACTGCACACCGCTTAATTACTTACATTTGTATCCGTATATTACGTGTATGCTGATTTTGAATTTTTGGTAGGCTATGTGAGTACAGCGATTAGATCTACTCATCATGCAACCAATCAGATGAGCAACTGACCATCACGTGTCTCAAAGCGGAAGAAATATCGAGTGGGTGTGCTTGTTTTACTTGATCAGTGTTCCTACATTTAGCAACTTTTCAGACTACCCTAGCAACTTTTTCTTCCAAAAGCACCTAGCAACAAATTTAGCAATTTAAAAAATTTATTTGGCAACTTTTAGCAACTTTTGATAAGGACTCGGACAATAAAAAGGCACACATTTTCCATCCAAATGACACAAAAAGAGGAAACCACAGATGCCTAGCAGTACACACATCACGAGAATTGAGTTAGCTGCTATTTGCAATTGTTCAATTTAATAATAATAATAGAATATTTGTTCATTTATGATACACTTTGTTAGTAGCTTGTACCTGCAATTGTTGATCAGTTAGTACACTAAGAAAAATGGAAAATCTTTCAGGACATTATCCATTATCCATTTGTCAGTAATTAACAACCGGTCCCTCTGTAATCTCTTTGCCACCTCGAAAATTCTCAGTCCCTTAAAGTGTATACGGCCGGGAAGCAAGAAAACACACATCAAACTGTATTCTCAATACTTCAACTTTATTCATAGATACAAAGATATTATATAGGCATATGTCGAGGGGAGTTTCAACCCTTTAACCAATGAGGATATAGATGACATACGTATAGGATTTTGGCCAAGAATATGTGTTATATAAAATGGCCACATGTACAGGAAAATATGGACATATTAGGAATAAACTTGGCGAAGGATGCTGAACTATCTCCATAGTTCAGTACAAACCCCATTACCTTGGAGTCCTAGCTAGCGTGTCCTCGTTTGAACATTTGAACTCAGAAAAGCTAATGCATATATGTGCGCATGCGTACCTCGAATATGAGTAAGAGATATTAAAACATAATACAAGAGAGAGATCAGATGGAGGAGGGGGGAATCAGAGAGAAAACAACATTGCTCTGTACAGGGAGGGCGAGCAGAGAGGGAGAGAGAAGAAAAGGAGGGTGAAAACATCTGGAACCAATACAGACAGAGAGTGTTTTCTAACACCATTGTAACCATGTAACCCGAAAACACAACGCGTAATTTAAAATGCAGGTAAAAAGACCATTACAGAAAATTATTTCATATTAACATAGTAGATTGTGCCTTATTTTTACAGACTTTTCTTAGAGTGTAGCATACTAACTAACTACTAATACACTGCTTAAAGCATAATTGTTGAGAATGTGTAGACTTACTAGTTTACTAGCTACTAAAAAAACTACACAAAAATGTGTAAGTTTTCAATAATTCAGTGTATTTAAAAATACAGTTATTTATAGTTTAATATTATATCATGCATAATATTTTACAAACAAATCTAAATGAACACATATAAAATATATGTTTTGCTGAGATTTGATGATGTGACAATTTTGCGTTGTTATTACGCAATGACGTCATTGAGCAATGGCATCACAACGTCATTTAGCAACTTTTAGCAACAAATCGACCTTCCTTTAGCAACTTTCTCTGAAAATTAGTTGGCAACACTGTACTTGATGAATCTTCTATGTCTGTTAATGTGTCTATGTCCACGGCATTCCCTCAGTTTTAGCTTCAGCTTAGGTTTATGTTGCGCATGACAGCGTTACACAATGTACTGCCTATTTAAAGTATGACAAGTAACCTTATGAAAACACTGCAAAGACATGAACTGTACATTTTAAAAGGGTCTGTTGTATGGCAAAACAGCCACAACTACACCTGCATACCAGGTGACTTTTTTAAAACATTTATATTAATTAAACCGAGCACTTATTTTGCTATTTAATATTATAATATTTAATTAATCCTTCAGTAAATACAACAAAATTTAAAAATCACAACAAATCCCTATGAATAACAAAATGATGTAACTGTATTGAAAATTGTAAATTGATGTCAGACCTCCATGTCGATGTATCATCTGTCTTTGAAGATAAAGAGGGATCCGTCTGCCCTTGGCAAAAAGGTAGGCCTATTAGGAGCACTGACTTCTAATATCTTAGAAAAATATATAATAGTAGTGAACAAGATAATAAAATGACCCTATGTTTACCTCAGAGTCCAAGTGGAGTCCTGGAGTTCACAGCATTAATTCCCATTTTTCAAGGCAAAACAAGTTAACATGAGAATATTATGATTATATGATTCACAATGACTGACCAGTGAATGTTTTAAACATTGAAACGCAGCACAAGATACCCATAACTAATTATGGATTAAGAGAATTATGTATTGATTTTCTATTTTTATGACAAAAACATTAGTACTGTACAGAATGTGTAAGACCTCACTGTAAAATCTCATGTATGTATGAACAACACATGTAAACAGCACTAGGTTTCATAAATGTTAAAGTTCAGTTGAGGTCCTGTTGTAAACTAGAGACAAAACTTACCTAATCAACTGGAAAGGATTTCTGATTTTTATGATTTTAAAGGTATTTTTTATTTCATTTTATTATTATTTATTGGTATTGTTACATTGATGACTCATACGTGTTTGGGGGGGGGGGAGATTTACAGGACCAATCACATGCTGCACTGTTGGCTGATGAGTCCCGAAATGTCCTGCTGGCATCAAAGAGGGCAAAAAAGAGTAGCTGGAGGAAGAGGTGGTAAATGGGAGCCGTAGTGATGGTGATGATGGACAGCCCCTCCTCTCACTGTTGAATGAAGGTCCTAAACAACATCAAATTAGCATTCTAACTTATTACTACATAATGTAAAATGTACAAATATCAACTTGGTTTAAGCTGAACACAGCATCTCTTGATGGTTACCTGCCCTGAATGTGAGGCTATAGAGGTGTGATTTGACTGATGCTTCCTCCTGGGTACACAGCCATTGGCGGAAGAGCCTTCAGCATCATATTGTGCATGATGATCTGATGATCTGTGCATTCTGCATGAGCATCAACTCCACCATGTCTGTCATCAGAATAATAAAGTAGAGAACTTTTGTCCAAGCTTAAATCTTGAAGTGTCGTTAAAACTTTATTCCATGTAGTACTTTATTCTTATTGGCTATATTTCAGGCATGCAACTTGAATCACTAGCTATACTACACTCTTAAAAATAAAGGTGCTTCAAAAGGTTCTTCAAGCCATGCCATAGAAGAACCATTTTTGGTTCCACAAAGAACCATTCCATCAAAGGTTCTTTAAAGAACCATCTCTTTCTTACCTTTTTATAATCTGAAGAACCTTCTTTCGCCCCAAAGAACCTTTTGTGAAACAGAAAGGTTCTTCAGATGTTAAAGGTTCTTTATGGAACCATTTAGACAAAAAGGTTATTCTATGGCATCGTGAAGCACCTTTATTTTTAAGAGTGTACTGTTTAAAAGTTTGGGGTCAGTAAAATTTTCAGTAAAAAAAAAAAGAAAAGATTTTTATGTTCACTTAGGCTACATTTATAAAAAAATTTTTTATTATTTATTCTAAAAATGCAGTCAAAACAGTAATATTGTAAAATATAATTTTATATAAAAATGATGTAAAATAGGAATATATTTGAATCATAAATAAAAATGATAATTTATTATCAATAAAAAATATAAAAAATATGTTTTTATTACAATCATTTGCTAAATAATTTGTCCTTGGTAAATGAAAAAAACTAAATCTTTCTGACCCCAAAACTTTGAACAGTAGTGTATTAAAAAATATATATATAAAAATAAAATAAAATCTTATGGTCTTGTAATTACTCTTTTGTTGGAAAGTACGTGTAGGCAAGTTTAAATGTCCTAATATCACTATTACTAATTGCTTTTTTTTGGGCTTAGTATACAGTACAATAACAGTTTTTTTTATTTCTGTATTTGATATATACTGTATATACCTTCTTTAATACTTCCTGATCTGTAGGGAAAGGTTTGTGGGGGTGGATTTTGTGCTATGAGAGGCTGTCGATGTGGTAACAGCTGGATAATGGTGGCTGGTTGTTGAGGAACCTTGTGGAAGGAGAAATATAAGTTATCAGAAGAGGGCCAGCAACGTATCATTGTAACACACAATGCACACACAAATTGTCCATGTACTTGTATATTTTAGAACAGCTATAAAGCCATTAATTGAACTGGAATAGTAAATGTAGATGTTCTGTGTATGATCAAACCAGTATAACTAAAGGTGTGAACTTTTCATACAGTGTGTTGAATGATTTGAGGGTGCTGAGGGGCAGGAGGAGGGAGAGGAGCAGGTGGAGGTGCAGGTGCAGGTGGTGCACTTTGGTGGATATGGATAGGAGGAACAGGCTGGAGTGGCCCGAGAAGAGGTTGATAATGATATTGAGATCCAGCCCATGTGTGTGGCCTTCCCAGATCCTCCATCATATGCTGTTCCTGTTGCACACACATAAACATACTCAAATGCACACAAATATTTGTGATTAACATACTAAAATGTTTTACTATTTACATGACACTTCAAGATTGCCTTTGTTTTAATCATCCTAATAAGTTAAACATACTCTTCTTAGAGAGTGAAGAATAATAATTTTAATATAATCTCTGTGAAACACTACCCTCGGTCTCTGTTTCTCTTCCGTCTCAGAGCGTTGCGTAATGCATCTGCCTGCCCATCATAACTTCTGTGGAATCACAATATAAGGAATTAGTCATATATGCTGTATTCTGTATTTTCAGTATCCTCGTCTGCTTTTGTTTTTATTTCATGATAGGTTTTATTTAGGCTTGGAATAATCCGTTGAGCGTATTACTAAAACAGGCGTTCTGTCTGGCAACCTTTTTTTTCAGGACAGAATTTTAGTCAGAGAGACAAAACACACATAATTTCAATCATGTAATATTGTACCTAAACTACTCTCAAAATTCTAAAAATACAACAGTGGAGTACACAAAAAAATCACTACTGTCTGTGTACTTGTGCAAAACGCTGACCCTTCTCGTTCAATGTTGTCATTTCTCTCATTCTCCAGTAGCTAAAAAGGAGCAAACAGATGATATAATAAGTATTTTAATTGACAAGTTTGGTCTCATGATAGAATGTTGTCAACAAGGAAGAAAGAATATCATGTTAGTTATGTATAACCGATAGATATTTTAAATAAATAAGCACTTTGTAGATACGTTTAATTAATTATTGTCCATGTTTGCTGTAGAAGGGTTGTCAGAATATATCTGTGTTGCAGAGTTCTTTGCCCAACACTCAAGTTGGTAAGTTACAGTAGAAATACAGACCGGGGCTCTTTAGTTTATGGTGGACCCATAGTAAAGTACTCTAAAATTAAATAAATAAATGGAAGAACGTATTGCAGCTTCCAACGAAATATTTAGAATTTGTATTTTAGGAAAACCTCAAAATGTAATCATAGAAAGGTTATGGAAACTTTATTATTATTATTATTTACAAAACCAATTATGTGTTATTTGAGCATTTATAAATATGGAATAATAATAACATAATAATTACTTATGTAGAATTGACATTTCTAAATATTGTTATATATTTTTATACCTTTATACTCCAAATAAAAGGTAATGATTATATGTATCATCTTTGTTTATTATTCAGTACGTATAATATTATATTCTCAAAGTGTGTTATATTAAACTGGCGTAACATTTACAATTTATGAGACTGCGCCTTATATTATTAGTGAAGAAAACAACTTTTGTTACGTCGATTCAGCTGTCGTTACTGGTTAATCTTATTCACCCGGGCTTTTACCCGCGTCTCTCATTTGTCAATCACATCCACTATAAGACTACCACAACAAATACACAGCCTACGGAGGATGTCATTTCTCACTATCCTGCACAGCAATAGGCTCTAGACGTTGTCAATCAAAGGGTCACGCTTGCACTCGCTTTCTAATTGGTCATTCAGGCCCAATGCATTTAAAGGAGGACGTTTTAAAAAGAGCAGGTGTATTTCTGCAACAAGAAATATCATTGGCTGACAAGTTCACATTCTTTGTTCTAATAGGTTCTCGCTGGCTGTCAATCTGATAAGGGCGGGGATAAACACACTTCGCGGCCATGTTGAAAACTACACTGACAGTTACTCCTTAGGAAAATCTCTGAACTCACAAAACATTACAAAAAATTCGTTTAAGGACTTTTAGAGAAACGCAGTTTCAGTCTGATTGGCGTCCCCTTGAGTGTTTCCTTCATTCCCATGAAATTCCTTGATCCAGGAAATGGATCAGGATGAAAGGCAGAGAAAATTAGAGGCCGGACGAGCAAAGGTAACGTTAAGCGCTAACATTAGCAGAGTAACTTTACATGGCCATGTTGAAAACTACTCTGACAGTTACTCCTCAGGAAAATCTCTGAACTCACAAAACATTACAAAAAATTCGTTTAAGGAGTTTTAGAGAAACGCAGTTTCAGTCTGATTGGCGTCCCCTTGAGTGTTTCCTTCATTCCCATGAAATTTCTTGATCCAGGAAATGGATCAGGATGAAAGGCAGAGAAAATTAGAGGCCGGACGAGCAAAGGTAAGCGCTAACATTAGCAGAGTAACTTTACATAGGCTAGTTGTGAATTTGAATATTCTTTTGTTGTTCTTTTTGTCTGTAATTATATCAACTACCACATTTATTTATATGTTCTTTCTTGCTTTTATTTGAGATCCTCTTGTATTTCGGACAGCCACAGATGTCACAGTCACTCCCATTGTTCTTGGTGCACAATGTCTTATTATAAAACTTGTAGGAACTACTCAGCCCGACTCAATTTATCAGTGTATCTGTGCCCAACTTATTCATAATTCACTGTAGTGAGTATTTGATTAATATCATGCCATATTCATAATGGACACAATGAAGCTTGAACTCCAAATTTCTACTGCGTGCATGTCGTTTATTTGCACTGGTTCACGAAATCAGAGCAACCTTCCTCAGCTGGAAGTTTAGCGCTTTTTTTTGTTGTTTTTGGTAATGTGTAACTTTTTGGGTATTTGTTTAGTTTGAGTTTAAATTTGGGGTAAATGTTTGTAGGCGTTGCAGCAAAAGCTTTACACAATGTCTTATTATAAAACTTGTAGGAACTACTCAGCCGGACTCAATTTATCAGTGTATCTGTGCCCAACTTATTCATAATTCACTGTAGTGAGTATTTGATTAATATCATGCCATATTCATAATGGACAAAATGAAGCTTGAACTCCAAATTTCTACTGCGTGCATGTCGTTTATTTGCACGGGTTCACGAAATCAGAGCAACCTTCCTCAGCTGGAAGTTTAGCGCTTTTTTTTGTTGTTTTTGGTAATGTGTAACTTTTTGGGTATTTGTTTAATTTGAGTTTAAATTTGGGGTAAATGTTTGTAGGCGTTGCAGCAAAAGCTTTCTTTTATGCTTATGAGGCTGTCTTATGTTGCAAATAAAGTTCTATTTGCTGAGAGGAATCTGACACAGCTCTGTCTCCGGGCAGGATCAGTGCAGCTCACAGGTATCTACAGTATATATTTAGCGCAAGAACTGCACGGGAACTGCACTTTATCCGCAATGAGAGGACAACAAAAATGAAGTGGCATCTTCTCGTTTTGAAGGACAAACGCTTCAAATGATGTAAACAACACGATATTGGCTACATTCATTAAAGGGGTCATATGATGCGATTTCAAGTTTTCCTTTCTCTTTGGAGTGTTACAAGCTGATTGTGCATAGATAAGATCCCTGAAGTTGCAAAGACTAAAGTCTCAAAACCAAAGAGATATTCTTTATCAAAGTTAAGACTCTGCCACGCCCCCCTAAAACTGCTCGTTCTAACACGCCCCCACATATCTACCTCACTATGTGGAAATATTTGCATAATGCGCCCATAAATACTTTCTCATCGTTGGATGATAATATTCAGTCCACAGAAGAATACTGACTGTTATTTATAAAGAGACCTGTAGGAGGCACCACACGATTAAAGTCTCAACATTGCAAGGATGCAATTCAGTTCTCATTAAATTAAAGTTGTAATAGGTTTAAAAAATACATTTTTTGTTATGCTGGTTGAAAGTCTCTTCACATCCCGATAGCAATCATTAAGTTTAGTGGTCTAAATGTATTCATCTGTATTTATATATTCTGTGGAAGGTGTAGGATCAAGAAATGTCTGTCCAATCAAAACGCTCGGTCCGAGCGTTTTAGTAAGCTTTCCTACCTGCCTGTCAACTTGTGTATCTGCATACCTCTGCGCACCCGGTTCACGCAGACAGGACACGTCATCAGCAGGTTCACGCACGCTTTGCAGACAGAGCGAGGATGGCAGACAAACATCAACAACCCGATCTTCCTTCCTGGTATTGTAGTACTTTTAAAGTTTTCTCACCGGTGAATGACACATGATGTAGCCCAGCGATTAATCCAGTCCTCGCTCCCCCCGCTCTGCATATTTTGAATGTCTCGCTTGGTTAACACACCCGATTCAGATAACCAGCTCATTAGAAGTG